AGGGATGCTACTAAATATCCTGCAATGCACAGAACACTCTCCACAGCCAAAAATTACACAGCCTGTAATGTCCAGGGTGCCAAGGCTGAGAAACCCTCTACTAGAGCAAAGAAAAAGAATAAACTATCATTCATTCATAGGAATGGATCTTTCCCTGGGTCCAACACATAGCCCAGAGGTTAAAGAAGTGATTCTACATAGCTGACTGCAGTTCCAACACTGGCCCTGGTAACTTGAAAAACACACTGGGCATGCATACAGGTGTGCTTCAAATCCTGACAGGATGGAGAAATGGCGAAGGGGCTGCAGTGTGACCACACTCTATTAAGGAGGGCTTTCTTCCTCTCCCCCTCTTTCTCTCTTTGTCTCTCACTTTTCGTTTTTCTGTCTCTCTCCAGTGAGTGCACATGTCCTGTGGCAAAAACCTAAAAAAAAAAAAAAAAGAAAGAAAGAAAGAAAGAAAGAAAAGTGGCTCTCAGAAATATAACATGGGAGGACTGGCAGATGGTATAATGGTTATGTCACTGGATTCCCACGTAGCTGACCGCAGTTCATTTCTTGGATGTTGTGGCTTAAACTCTCACCGGGTGCATGTGTGTGCATGCCCAAAATGTCAAGAGGAGAATGGAGGTGAAGGGATTGCAGTGTGGCCATCCTCCTCGGGGGTTAATTTCTTGCTTTCTGTCTTTCTGGTGAGTGCATGTGCCCTATAGCCAAAACCAAACCAAACCAAAACAAACAAATAAAAACTCTCTCTAAAAAAAGAAGAAAAAAGAAATCAGAAAAGAGTCCATGCAGTTATACTATGAGAAGCCAAGAAACAAGCAAAAGTGTTCTATATGATACAAGTCAGAATAGTGGTTGACTTTAGGGTAACCAGAATGAGGAAGGCTTCTGAGATTCTAGTAATGTTCTATATTTTTATCTGGATAGAAGCTAGTTACATGGATGTACATATTTGTAGAATACTCCCATTTGAAGAAGACATGTAACTTTTAATTAATGAATGAATTTATTAATTTATTTATTTTTGCTAAAGGGCGAGTGTGTTCTCCAGACAAAGATATAGAGATAGACAGAGAGAGGAGAAAGCACCCTCCCTGGGGAATGGTCATACCGCAATCCCTTCTTCTCCATTTCTCCTCCCTTCTGGGACTTTGGGCACATGCATGGACACCTGATGTGTTTCTCAAATTGAGAGGTGTAGGATTCAAGCTGTGCAGCAGGCCAACTGCCAGGTCACAGAGACAACCCCATTTGTTATACATATGTTAAAAATAACATACATGCGATACATTGCTTTTCTTATGTTTTATAAACTAGCTTTATTCACATCCTTCTTTAACACAGTCATCATTTTAAAATATATTTAGCATGTCTAAAATGACTTTAAAATCAAACTTTTTGAAAGTACAATATCTTCTGTCAAATTATTTCACATATAGCATGTAGTACTGACTAGTAATATTTTTTCTGATTCTTTTGATTCTAAAATGTTAATATAATTTCTTTTTCATTAATTCCATCAATATATGTTTGCATGGTGACCTTTTTAAGGCATTATTTAAGAGTCTTTTTACTAGAAAAAGCTATTTTTATACACTTTGTCAGGGTTCCCCACATTGTGTTTTTCCTAATACACAGAGGGAAAATGTACTAATTTTACAAGGAATAGTTAATAATTCTCCCCAATTTTTCCAGTTTGTACCAAGTGCTAAGATACCATTATCTAAGATCCCATACATATATTTCTGTAATAATATTCCCATAATGAATCATTTAGTACTGTATCCATGAAAGTCTATCCATCACTTTTCTTTCTGTTTAGGCAGCCTTAGGAATGCTTTTTGCAGTGTTTTTCTCCTTCAAACTTGGCTGTTTACAACTGAGATGAGATTTATATCATCTATACACTTATTTCTACATGTAGTTTTTAAACAAGATTCTTTTTTTTGATCAAAAATGCACCAATTAACATTTTATCATGCAGAAAAATATTCCTTGTCTCTGTGTCAAAGTTGAATTATCTTGAGAACACTTTCCTTGCAACTGAAAACATCACCACCACTTCCTAAAACACATGATTTAAAAATACATAGCATCATTCCATATCTACAAATCTGTCTGCAAATTCTTGTTTAGTTGGAGGCTAATTTATGAAGATAATGAACCTTAAGTTTCAGGCATTCTCTTTCTCTGGAAGGAGCCCTAGTCATATATGGAGATTTGTTTCTGTTGGCTATGGAGATATTTCTTTTTATATGGAGATATGTTATGTTGGTTCATTTCCCAGAGTGGCAGTGTGAGGAATTCTATGAAATTCCCCCCTCCAAATAAGCATAATTGGGAAAAAAAATTATTCATGAGAGACTAGCAGATGGTATGATGGTTATGTCATTGGACTCCCATGTAGTTGACTGTGGTTTGAGTCCCAGACTGATGGCTTAAAACTCATTTTCGGAGCATGTGCACATGTGCCCAAAATCCCGAGAAGAGAATGGAGGAGAGGGAATTGTGGCATGGTCATCCCTCTGGGGAGTGATTTCTTGTTTTCTGTCTCTCTGACAAATACATGTAGTTTTTAAACAAGATTCTTTTTTTTGATCAAAAATGCACCAATTAACATTTTATCATGCAGAAAAATATTCCTTGTCTCTGTGTCAAAGTTGAATTATCTTGAGAACACTTTCCTTGCAACTGAAAACATCACCACCACTTCCTAAAACACATGATTTAAAAATACATAGCATCATTCCATATCTACAAATCTGTCTGCAAATTCTTGTTTAGTTGGAGGCTAATTTATGAAGATAATGAACCTTAAGTTTCAGGCATTCTCTTTCTCTGGAAGGAGCCCTAGTCATATATGGAGATTTGTTTCTGTTGGCTATGGAGATATTTCTTTTTATATGGAGATATGTTATGTTGGTTCATTTCCCAGAGTGGCAGTGTGAGGAATTCTATGAAATTCCCCCCTCCAAATAAGCATAATTGGGAAAAAAATTATTCATGAGAGACTAGCAGATGGTATGATGGTTATGTCATTGGACTCCCATGTAGTTGACTGTGGTTTGAGTCCCAGACTGATGGCTTAAAACTCATTTTCGGTGCATGTGCACGTGTGCCCAAAATCCCAAGACGGCATGTGCACATGTGCCCAAAATCCCGAGAAGAGAATGGAGGAGAGGGAATTGTGGCATGGTCATCCCTCTGGGGAGTGATTTCTTGTTTTCTGTCTCTCTGACAAACACATACATCCTATGGCAAAAATCTCTCTAAAAAATATTCACAAAATTTTAGAAATTGTTCTAAGGGCATATTTCAAGCAATGATATATTTATTAAAGGAAGGCTCCTAAATCTTGCTAAATACAGCAAAAATCAGTGGCACTTGATGTCACAGGTAAAAAATTTCAAAAGATTAATTTCTGTCATATGCAGCAGATGATGAAGAAAGGTTGGTATTACCATATGTGTTTACCTAAGCTTTTCCTTTTTCATACACCAGTCATCCCTCCAAAAGTTGGGCATTTAATTAATCTTTGAACTGGTCATTCCCATAGTTGCTAACTAAGTAAGTGCATTTCGTATAGCACCCCTTCTTAATGAGCAATATGCCTCCTTGTATTGTAAAATCTTTCTGATAACTCATTAGACATTTTTTTTGTAGACTAGTAAAAGTGCATTCCTATTTTCATATTGCTTTAATTCAAAGTTAATAACCCAATTAAAAATGAGCAAAAGATATGAATAGATATTTCTCCAAAGTTCCTATACTAGTGGCCATGGAGCACATGAAAAGATGCTCAACATCATTAGCCATTAGAGAATTGCAACTGAAAGCACAATGCCATACCACTTCCCTCCTGCTAGGATGGCTATACTTAAAAAAATTAGTAATAACAAGTGTTAGTGAGAAAGTGGAGAAGTTCAAACACTTATATACCAGAGGTAGAGATGTACTCTGATACATTTACTTTAAAGAATAACCTGGCTGGGACCAACAGGTGGCATGGTGGTTAAGGGTGTTGGACTCCCACATGGCCAACCACAATTTGAGTAGGGAATCCAGCAGCTTGCTGCTCTCTCACTTTCTTTCTCTCCTCCCTTTCTGGCCAAATTGAAGTGGATAAATAAATAATTAGATAAAAGGAATAGCTAGCCTGGCTGTTTTTCTTTTCTTACCTCTCTCTCTCTCTTTTTATTTTTTGTCTTAGGTTGCATGTGCTCAACTAGAGAAGAGAGATACAGAGAGGGGGGAAGTGAGAAATCACTCCCTGGGGTTGATGGCCATGTTGCAGTCCTCTCTCTTCCCTTCTCCTCCTGAGATTTTGGGCACTCATACACATACCTGGCGTGATTCTTGAGCCGTGAAGTCTGGGACCGAACAGCAGTCAGCCATGTAGGAATCCAACACCTTAGCCACCACATCACCTGCTGGCCCTGAGTCTGAATGTTTTTCAGAAGTTAAACAGAGAGTGCCATATGACCCATCAATTCTACTTCTAGGTATGTGCCCAAGAGAAATGAGAATGTGTGTCCACACAAACACTTCTGTAAAACTGCACATGGCAGCATTATTCCTAATAGCCTAAATGTGAAAGCAGCACAACTGTTCCTTAACTATAAAATGGGTAAATAAAGTGTAGTACCTGTAAAATGTAATGTTATATTTCAATAAAATAAAATGTTGACATATGGTAAACATCAATGAATCCTGGAAGCACTATGCTAAGTGAAGACAGACACCTCATATTTGTTGAGAATTACCAAACTATTTGCTGAATTTAATTCATTTTTGCATGGGTACTTGGAAAAATGCAAAAGTGTATAAACAAACATGACAGCTGTGTTCAAAATGATTATGAAGAACTAATAGAAAACACATACAAAGTGATTAAACATGTTAAACCAAACAATTAACCAGACTTCCAAAGCTACTTTTTATTGTACGCTAATACAAAGTGATTAAACATATTAAACCAAACAAATAAACCAGACTTCCAAAGCTACTTTTTATTGTACTAAGACTGGGCAAATCTTGATCAATTGGAGGTTACCATAGGTAAATTTATTACAAAAAATTCCGAATTATTTTTTCCATCTGAAAATCATTAATCTGTGGCTGTATTTAACAAGCAAAACAAGTTCTGGTTGATTGTAACATAATATTGAAGAGTATTTGTGTGCAGTAGTCTGACTGTCCTGTGAGAACGCAACTATTATGAATAAAGATTGCATGCATTTTTATTAATGCTTTTTTAAAATTCAAAGCATTAATAAATAAGCAAAATGTGCTGCCTGGAACTCATTGTTTTTTTTTATAAAAAGAAGTTGACTTTCAGAGAAAGCTAGAAAGCAAACTGACAGGTCTGGGACTTGAACTGTGGTCGAACATGTGGGTAGCCCAGTGCCTTAACCAACATGCCACCCTAACAGAAGTTAAGTTGAGGAGATCAGGATCTGAAGTAACCCATAGGTCGTTTCTGAGCTGACATCAGATTTAACGTAGATGCAGAGTAGAGACTGAAGAACAAGTAGGTACTGAAAGCATGGACCCTTAATCAGTGTGCTTAAGGGGGCAGATGGTTGGCAAGTCTCCCTACTCATTATGGAGCTTCCAGAGGTAAAGTCATACCATATATTGCAGAAACAAAATCACTATGGGTCCCAGTAGGAAGGACATACTAAGTATTTTATCAGATAGTCTGATTTTAGAAAAGTTACTTATTAAAATTATCTACCTCTTATGAAATTACATTTTCTTCACTTAGCAAATGAGAAAATAGTTCTTGTGCCATTAGGTACTGATTTGATCAGACTGCCTGTAAAACCCTTGCACAGTAGAGCCAATAGATGGCGTGGTCATTAAGGTGTATGTGGGTATGGGTCCAAAATCCCAGGAGGAGAAAGGAGAAGGGATTGAGTGTAGCCATCCCACCAGTGGGTGATTTTTCATTTTCCCTGTCACTGTCTCTCTGGTGAGCATGTGTGCCCTATGACAAAAACTTTAAAATAACAAAACAAAGCAAAAACACTTTTGTAGTACTTGTATTAATAAATATCATTTATTCGTGATAGCATAATGAAGGAGTCTCTGGGATTTTATCCTACAAATAAGCAGCCTTTAAAAACCAGAGGTAGTCTAGGGTAAAATTTATAGAGGAATGAAAAATGTAGTAGAGTACAGGAGGCAGACACTTCCTTTAGGTGGGGGGCTTAGGATTTTCTTTTGAGGCACTGGCAGAGAACACTGAGATGATGCAATTGAATACCTGAAGTTTAAGAGCTAAGATCCTTGGGTCGAGCAGGTGGTGTTATAGTTTTATCAGTGGACTCCCACGTAGTTGACTACAGTTTAAGCCCTGAGAAGGGGAAGAATGGAGAAGGGGGAGAATGGAGGAGAAGGGACTGTGGTGTGTGTCCATACTCCCTGGGGGCCAATCTCCCCAGGGGGAGCTGTCTTGTTTTCTGTCTCTCTGTCTCTCGGGTGAGTGTATACACCCTATAGCAAAAATCTCAAAAAAAAGAAGATCCTTTCTTATCTGCCATTAACTGGGCCCTATACTCCGCCATCTTCTCAGTCAACTGTTTCAGATGTGTCTGATAACTCTTATCTTTCCATTTGCTCATTTTTCTTTTGGTTTCCTCCAGCATTTTGTTTGTAGCTTCTGTTTATTTAGCCTTCATGCATTCTACCAGGGAAGAAAAATAAGCAGAGAAATACAAAAATTTAAGTGTATGCATTCCTTTAGTCTTTCACCATTTTAGTTTCACTCTATGTTACTCAGAAAACCTCTTGTAATTTTTTAAATAGTAACCAGAAGACAGATGATCATGCATACCAATGAAGGAAAAACTACCATAAAACTAAGAATGATACTTGCTATTTTTTTTTCTACAATAATGACTCTAGATGGACTAATGATACAAACTAACATTTCTAGGCATTTCCAACTATTTAGAGTGTTTTCAGCTCTTCTCACCATCAATCTTTTCCCTTTTCTGTGAGTGACTGTTCATCCTCCAGAAATTCATCAGCCATGTCCTCTATGGACTGCAAGCATTTTTTCAACATTTCTTCTGCCTAATTGCACAGAAGAAGTTAGAGTTAAAAAATAGAGTAAGGTTAAAGCAAACTCTGCATTACATCTGTTAATTCAATTTACTTTGGCCACCCATGTAATGATTCATTTTATAGTTCATACACAATTGTAAATTTAGTAGGTTTAAAACCCAACTCTGGATCCCTCCCTCTAACCTGTCCTTTCCCCAATATCCCCGTTTTAGTAATTAGTAGCTTTTATTCAACATTCTGTATCCTTGATATATTCTTTCTCTCACTTATTTCATATACAATTATCAACTATTCATGTTAGCTTTATCTTCAGAATATCAGCAGAAGCCATCACTTGCACCTGTCCCACTTACATGCCCTAGTCAAAGATGCCACCACTTCTTGTCTGGAAGATGGCTACCTTTTTATGATTGATTTTTATAATTGATTCTTTTGCTTCTGCTCTCGTCTCCTACAGTCCATCTTCCTCAGTGGTCTGGTTCTGCTGTATTATTTTAAGAAAAAATCACATTCTCTCTTTTTTATTTTTTTGAGAGGTTTTTGCCATAGGGCACATATGATCACCAGAGAGAGAGAGACAGTGAGAGAGAAAGTGAGAAATCACCCCCAAGGGAGGATGGCCACACTGCAGTCTCTTCTTCTTTCTCCTCCTGGGATTTTGGGCACACATGCACATGCGCTCAGTGTGATTTTCAAGCCACTGGGCCCAGGACTCAAACCGCAGTGAGCCATGTCGGAGTCCACCAACATAACCATTACGCCATCTGCTGGTCCCCACAACATTCTCTTTCTAAAGCTTATTAATTTTTTAATGAGAATGAGAAAAAGAGAACACCCCTGACAGGTTGCTCTACCTCCAATTTCAGTCAGACTTGGATCATAGGCATATATCTGCCTGGCATACTCAGGAAGATCTCTAGACACGAATCGAGAACTTTTCCATGAGGGCTGTCCTTGTAGTGTGTTACATTTTACTACGGTGTCACTGGTTGGCCTCCACATCATTCTTAAACTTTTTATTGACTTTCCTACTCACCCAAATAAAGTTTAGATTTTTAAAAATGGCTTCCAAGGGACCAGCAGAAGGCATAATAGTTATGTTGCTGGACTCCCACATAGTTGACTGTGCTTCGAGTCCTGGCCCCACATGCTGGGCACATGTACACATGTGCCTAGAATCCCAAGAGGAGAATGGAGGAGAAGGGACTGTGGCATGCCATCCCCCATGAGGGGCCATTTCTTGCTTTCTGTCTCTTAGTCTCTCTTTCTGTCTCTCTGGCAAGTGCATACGCCCTATAGCAAAAATCTCTCTCTCTAAAAAAAAAAATAAGCCTTCCAAAGTCCTCCACTGTTTGACCTCTGACCACTCTTCAGATCTTGTCTTTTGCCAGCTCATCTTTTGCTCACTGCCTTCCAGCAATTAGCTTTAATGCTATTCCTAGAACATAAACCAATATATTCTTCCAGATCATTTCTGTTTGAACCGTTCTTCCCTTTGATGTCTAGTTGACTCACGTTCTAACTTCTGTGGAGATTCTGGTGAAGCTCTATGTTATTGGAGAGGCCTTCTCTAAGAACACATACATAAAATTGCTCTCTGTTTCCTTGTTTTCTATATCTGCACCCTACTTTTTCTTCAGAACACGTCTTGTCACTAAGACAGTGACGGCTGAAAGTCATCCTGATCTCTATTCTCCCATTGTACTTTATAAGAGAACCCTGATTTTGTTCCTCACTGGGCAAATGACAGATCATGATACAATATTGTATTTTCTTGTCAATATTGATTGTAGTTGGAGAGCCCATATGATTACATTCTGGCTAATAACATAATCAAAAGTGTGATATGGCACTACTTGGAAATCTCTTTAAAGGGAACTGACTCAGCCTTTCTATTCTTCTGTTTTTTCCTTCCTCGCTCTCTTTTTCCTACCTGTAAAGTGGAAATAAAGGCTGAAACTCTACAGCCAATTTGCAGAATAAATTGACCTTGAAGAGGGAGGCCATGTTCAAAGGTGTGCTAGCAGAACAAAGGAAGGGGCCTGGGACTGAGATGAATGTGGAGTTATCACAACAGCACTGGGCTTACACTTCTTGACTTCTTGTAGAAGGAAAGAACCTTTTCGGGACCAGACAGTGGCAGAGTGGTAGTGCAATGCTCTGTGAGGCTGATACACGTAAGGTTCTATGCTTGTGGACTGGGGGGTAGAATGCAGAGTGGGGCCTCTGCTGGGAGACCTGTCTCTTTCTTTCTTCTTCCTGTTAAATTCACTCATGGGAAAAATAAATCATTTTCAAGTCACCATTGTTTTTCATTTTAATTAATACATAGTCAAACAACTTAAACTAAGGAGACAGCATGTAATTGTTAAGTTTACAAATTCTGCTCCCTGGATTTGGATTCAAACTGTGCCACTCATCATTTTTGTGGTACTGTATAAGTCTGTCACTCTCTCAATAAGTGGATCTCTTATTGAATGAATCAGTAAATGGATGAATGAAAGGCACAGGCACTACATTCTAATCACAGTTTTATTTTCCTAGTTTTCTGTGAGGTTTGAAAGAGTCTTCTTAGCAAGAATCTCAAAATGTACCCAGAACTTAGCATACCTGTATCCCCTTTTTGGGTGTCTGGTAGTATTTTTTCTTTAGCTCTTGTTTCTTCTGAATAAAGAGATGGTAATCTTCTGGTTTAGAAAATTTTCCCTGCTTCACATCTTCTTCCAGAGGACCAAAAATATCCTGAAGTAAAACCTTGCAACAGTCTGATGATGCTTTCACATTCTTGTTACAGAAATAATCTCGCTTTGCTTCCAGCTGGTCCTGTGAAGTGAGCAAATAGCACAGGTAGTACAGTAAAGCCATGAAAAGATTGTTGGCCACTCATAAAATACTGGGAAGTTCTACTGCAGAGACTGTGGCATCTAAATAGAGCGACAATCTCCCCCTTTTTATGAGATCCTAGAATATCCCTGAAATGGGTAATTGTGGAAATTTATTTAATTCTATTTGTAATTTCCTGAAGCTTCTTTTCCCTGATTTTCCTACCTCACAGAATGCTATTTTCAAAGCATAGACATTCTTTCACATGAAACTTTTGTCTTTTCAAGTCTCTAATTTCAGGAATTGCTCAGAGCACAAACATCAGCGTCAAGCAGGATTGCTTGAATTTGTGTACCCACCATGTTGTGGTTTTGTGACACTCACCCTTTGCGAATTGAAGACTCTTTCTTTGTCAGTAGAAGTGTGTGTGGGGAGATAATACCTATCTCACAGATTGCTCGTTAGGATTATATGAGGTGATATAAAACATTAAGCCCAGTGACTTCTCTAGAAGTGTTCAGTAAAAGGTATATGATTAATCGGTACATTGTCTAGTGTGAGAATATTTTCTCAGTATAAGACTAACGAAAGTAATGACGATTATTTATACAAAGAAAGATCTGTATGTGGAAAGTCCAACAGAGCAGCACATTTATGTACATTAAATACCCAAGATAACTGAGATAGCAAGCTCTTTTTTCTTCCTTGGCTTGAAAGGATGCCAATTACCTGTGGCACCAGAACCTCTGAATACAACAATGTCTCACTTGTGAATTCCCACCTTGCTAGCCAGGGAAAGGAGGGTCACTTGTCTAGTGGCTATTTGCTGTGCAACAATCTTTTTAACTTGGAATAAGTCATATTCTAAGGACATTCTCACATAAAATTATTATGAGTAGTTTCACTTTCTTGGTTTTTTAATTTTTTTTCCCATTGGCTTGCATAAAATTCATTATTGGAATTATTCTTAAAAGAATGCAATCCCTACAAATTCTTAGCAGATAACATAAAACTAATGTGTCCTTTTTGTTAATTTAAAAATAAATAAATAAAATAGCAATTTATAAATGCAATCATACAATTTGCTTATTTGCTTAAAATATGATATCCAGAGGGAGAAACAGACAATGGATTTTCATGAAAAACTTGGCTGGTTATGGTGCCATTTTTTTTTAAATAGATCTAAGACTTGACATAAGTCTTTTCTTTCAATGATGATTACAAATATGTATACACAACTGTGTACTGTTGTTTTGTGATCTAAAAAGAGTTACTCTTCTCAAGAAGGGCCCATATTTTTTTCCCTCTCTTGACCTAGAACACCAAACATACCCCTAATTCCTTTCTAAATAAGTTGTCCACATCCTTGAAAGCGTTCTTTGTGAAGATTTCAATGGCCTCTCTCTCACAAGCCCTGTGCAAGTCCAGCAGCTCTTCAAGGGTTTCCGTGGGCAGCTGCACCTTCTGGCTCATCTGGTGGTCATAGTGGGCCATGGCCTTCTGCACTACAGCCAAGTTCTCGCCCGGAGCCATGAGCAAGGCTGTATTCTCCATGCAGGGTAGATACTCATTGTTGATGGTACTAACATAGGTCTGTACCAGGTTCTCTAGATCTACAAAAAGGAATTAAGAAAAGAATATCAATTATCATTTGGTGGGATAGAGTATTTTGTTTGCTTTTCAAGTAACTATCACAAATAATCATTTTAAGGACTTTTTTTGGGAAGAATAGTCATGGAACAATTTGTTAACCTCTAAGTCCAGAGGAAATTTAAGCTTCTCTTCCTTCTTCCTTCAGTCAAAAAGAAGGTGGTGAAATAAATAGGCCCAAATAAGAATATAATGAAACTGTGACATTAGGCTTAGGTCTTTTTTTATTTCTCTTTTTAAAAATTAGCTAGAGTTGTGAGCCCTCTCCAGAGAGAGACAGAGAGGGTGAGAGAAAAAGCACTCCCCAATGGGGCATGGTTATGCCATAATTCCTTCTTCTCTGTTTCTCCATCTTGTCAAATTTTGAGTATGCACACAGATGTGCTCACTGTGTTTTTAAGCTGCTGGGCCAGGATTCAAACCACCTTAATAAAATTAAGATCCCTTAATAAAATTAATAAAATACTGGGAAGTTCTAATGCAGAGAGTCTGGCATCTAAATAGGGCCACAATCTCCCCCTCTTTGTGAGATCCTAGAATATCCCTGAGAAGGGTAATTGTGGAAATTACCCTTAATTAATCCCAATTAAAGGATCTAGTTCCCTTAATTACTAGGTGATGGAGCCAGCCTATAAGTTTAGGTCTTTTCTTACCCTTCTTATTTCTGTGAATATTTCCTTTTTTCCCTTCCCTTCCTTTTTCTCTTCACTCCAAATTTATGTAAATGTACAAAGAGAAAACTAAGCTTCACGCCATCTCAGTGCTATAGGCCACTAGTCCTGTGTCTGGCCTAAGTAAATAGGTCTTTTAAAATATTTGCTTAAGATATAGGTAGGAAGTCCACCTCATTGGGACTTACTCAGCGATTTTCTGGTTGAGGCATTGAATGTCTCAGGTCCCAAGAAAATTCAATCTTGGGAAAATTGGAGTGGTTGAACATCCGTGTTAATAGTTCTTTGTGACTCAATCCCAGACCTTCTGTCCTTCTTCTGTAGTTTTAAGCACTATCTATCGGGTCGTCGGAGAAGTCATGATGTACTTTTGCATAGAGAAACATAGAAAAATATGTCATGACTTTTTCGATGACTCATTTATATGAATGACTCATTAATTTTATTTCCTGCTTTTACCTTCTTTTTAAGCTTTGGATTTGTATGCTTAGATTCCTATGTAGAATTCTGTACTATATATCAGGAAAAGTTTAATGTTAAATAATCTAAATGTAAACAACTTTATTCACTCTGAAAAACTATTCTTCCTCATGATATTACTATTTCCATAAATAAAACGTCTGCTGAAGCAGTTACTAAACTCAACACATTGGAGATAGGCTTGACACTTCCTTTCTTCTCATTTCTGCCATACACCCATATCCTTCATCACCGAGTGGATTTGACAATCAAAATGTATTTGGATCAGCCTCTGGGTTCAGCTTCAGGGCTGCGAAGTACTCTCCCAGCCAGGGCTCCCCTGCAGACCCTAGTGCCAGTCAGGTACACAAGTGTCTCCTTCTTATTCTACTCTGTACCTTCTAACTTTTCTCTATTTTTTTTAAAAACAAACAAAAAAATAAAACAAAACAACTTTTTTGCCTTGTTTGTGCCTTTCTCAGGTTAATTGATCTCTACTTCCTTCACTTTGGATAGAAAGCCTCCAGCATCCTCCACCTCTGTCTGGGTTTTCCATTTTTAACACAATTTCTTTTTCTTTTTGGAGAGATTTTCACTATAGGGCATGTGTGCTCGCCGGACAGACAGAGAGAGACATAGAGACAGAAAGTGAGAAATCACCCCCCAGGGGGAATGGTCACGCTGCAATCCCTTCTCCTCCATTCTCCTCTCGGGATCTTGAGTACGCATGCACACACGCCCGGCATGAGTTTTAAGCCACCGGGTCCGGGACGCGAACCGCAGTCGACTATGTGGGAGTCCAGCGACATAGCCATTACTCTAACTGCTGGTTCCCAACACAATTTTTTTTCTCTTTTTAATTTTTTCCTCTCTTTTTCTTGTAATATTTTCCTTTCTTTTTCTTTGCTTTCTCTTCCTCTATTTCCTACTCTTTTTCTTTTACCTTATGCTCCTTTTTACTGCTCAGCCCTTACCCACTGACTAGAGATTATTAGGTGCATAGTAGATAAATTCTAACATTGTGAGTGTTCTTTGTACCTCACTGTAGTGGGTGCAAAAATAGTGACATTCTCTTTATGAATCCAATTGTAAAAATCCTGTCTTTTCCACACTGGAGAACACAGTAGAAGAGAAAAAATAGCAATGAATTATTTCACAGTAAAGAAGCGCATCAGTCACAGTTTCACAATCCTTCTCTAACAAGTTAAACAGAAGTGAATACCTTACCAAATGACTACGAATTGGAAGAGCCTCAAGGATGAGAGAATCAAGTAATGTATTTCCAGCAAGGGAACACTGTAGCTTGTCTCCACATAGGGAACTATTAGAGGATATTACCAAAGTGTTAACTGTGCCTCAGATAAGGGACTGATAATCAGAATACACAGGGAACTCAAGTGGCTTACCCAGAACAAAAAGATTAACCCAATTAAAAGATGGGAAAATGAGCTGAATAAACAACTCTCTAAGGAAGACATACGAACGGCCAAAAAGCATATGAAGAAATGTTCAACATCCCTCATCATAAGGGAGATCAAAACCACAATGAGATACCACCTAACCCCAGTCAGAATGGTGAAGATTAAAAAAAAAAAAAAGATAAGTGTTGGTGAGAATGTAAATTGGTCCAGCCACTGTGGAGAACAATATGGAGATTCCTCAAAGACCTTCAAATAGAACTACCATATGATCTAGCAGTTCCACTCCTGGGAATCTACCCAAAGGACAGGATAACACTCAGTTGGAAAAGTCGTGCACATCTATATTCATTGCAGCCTTATTCATGATTGCTAAGACATGGAGCCAACTTAAATGTCCACAAACAGATGAATGGATTGAAAAAGGATGGCACATATACTCCATGGAATACTATTCAGCCATAAAAAACAACAAGGCCCTGTAATTTGATAGAAAGTGGATGAATATGGAAGATCTGTTGCTGTATGAAGCAAGTCAGGCTACGAAAGAGAGACATTGCATGTCTCCCCTTAACATATACTGGTTGTCAGCACTCTGTGACAGAGACTAAAAGACTGAAGGACATCCAAGCATTAAAAGTTGTTATGGACACTAGAACCAAAGTGGAAAGAGTGGGGAGGGGACGAGCATAGGAAAGGAAATTTGGGGGAAAAATGGAGAGGTAAGGCATTTGTGGGACATGGATATGATGTATTATTTGTTGATAAGGACGTGCGTATGTTCTCAACTGGGCTGGATTGAGGTGTGTGTAAAGTATCTTTAAAATCTAAATGATGTAGAGTGATGAAATGTATAAGTAATAATTAAAATTAATAAATAAAAATATATAGTTGGATCTTTTTTTTTTTTTTGGAGAGGTTTTCGCTATAGGGTGCATGCGCTCGCCAGACAGACAGAGAGAGACAGAGAGAGAAAGCGAGAAATCACCCCCCAGGGGGGATGGCCACACTGCAATCCCTTCTCTTTCATTCTCCTCTCGGGATCTTGGGCATGCACACACACGCACCCGGCGTGAGTTTTAAGCCACTGGGTCTGGGATGCGAACCGCGGTCGACTACATGGGAATCCAGCAGCATAGCCATTACGCTAACTGCTGGTTCCTGAATCTTGTCCATTTTGACCATGCCCAATGCCACACTGTCTTATCTTGACCTAACTCCCACTTATTGCTAAACAGTTTGCAAATAACATCCATCTCATTCTCTCTCTTACAGCATTCTGATACATTTTTTACAAAATATACAGAAAGATAGTTGTAAATATAAATTAGATAACTTGAGCTCATTACCAAAAAAAAAAATCCTTTAAGATCCTCCCAAAAGCTTAGAACATCTAACTCTAAACTCCTTGAAGTCATCTGTTGCTCTTCGAAGGTTTGACCTTCGCATATGTCTCGAATTATGTACTATTGTGCTAATGACCTGTATTTCTTCTATTTTCTTGAAGTTGCAAAGTTGTTTTTTTTTTTTTTTTTTCCCCCTGTCTCAGGCCTTCTCTCATGACATTATCTCTATCTATAAAGTAATCTCCTCCTGTTCTCCAGGTTAACTTTTACCCACTTTTACGTTCTCCTTTTACATGTGACTTTAACAGGCAAATATTCTCTATTTCCCAGTCTAAATTATAGTATATTCCATCTGTCTAGATAGCTTATTCTCTCATAGCAGTCTATTATTCTATTATTTTGATTTATTATGTTAATCATTATTTACCATTAGGTATGTGTTTTACTTAAAAAAAAAAAAAAGCTTTTGTTTCCATTATGCTGTTGGAATGGGGAGATAAATCACATTTTAAAAAATCCATTATAACACCCAGCAGTTGGCACTGCATTAGGTATTAGTATTCCCTACATACTTTTAGATTGGTGAAGAATAGAATTGTACTACAATCAATTGCAAAGTCTCACTTATGAATGCTATTTTATTTTTTTTCTGACTTTGTTGGTCTGTATGTATCTCTCTGAAGGCTATTTCATAAATGGGGAGCTGAAAGTTGGTTGAGAGGGTTACTATAGCAGAACTAGATTCTAACTTTCTTATTTTCTTGCTGTTGTGAATATGAGATATTAGAAGTAGTGTTAATTCCCATATAAAGTTCATATTGTGATCCCTGTGTTGTGTTTTCCTGAGCATCTTTAGTCTACATATTTGTCAACAGTGACCCCTTTGCCTCCCTCTTTTATCCTTGGAAATGGGTGGAAGAAAAGTCCATGTAAAAGGCGAAGGGAGATAGCAACTCACAGGGCCCGTTGACAATGATGCCATCTGACACCGTTTTGGCACTGGATTGGCTGAGGATGTAGGAACGGAATTCTGCAACTTGTTCTATAAAATCACGCTCCAGATCTTTGTCGTTTTGCTTATCCAGGTGTTTAAGGTGTTTCTTCAAAGCAGGCGGGTCAAATACAAAGCACTTCCTTATTGGGAAGAACTTTCGGATGCACAGTCGAAGCTCATTAGAGCTTAAACTTTTTTGATCAGTACCTACAGGAATGAAAATTGGAGTTAGTACAACTTTAAACTAACTCCAAATATAGGATCCTTCATCTTTGTACTTTTCAAAAAGCCTGTGTAAGGAAAACTAATAATGAATGAAGAATAAGCAAAAATTAAAGGGATAGAAGGGAAAAGGTCTCTAAGAAGAGGTAGGTCATACAATTTAAAATAGGATCTTACTGATATAGCCCTGTAATGATGGAACAGTCAGAAAATATAATTACTAAATTATAGTCTTATAATCATTGTCACCTATACAGAAAAGGTAATTCTAATGTTGTTTGCTATTTGTTACCCAACCAACCATCATCCCAGTAACCTTGTTTTAGCTTCAGTGCCCGCTCCAGGAGCTCATCTGCAGTGATGGGTTGTCCATCTGCTTGTAGGTCCAATGTGAAATCTCTCAGAGTCCACACGAAAACTGGAAAGCAGCTCACAAAGTCAGCTGAGTCTTCTACCTCTTTATTATCAGGCGAAGATTTTGTCTTGATTTAATTTGACAGTTCTGTCACAAAGCTGAGAGACTAAATTAAGAAAACTACAAAAAAAAGGGCAACTTCTTTTTTTGGCTGTTTTATTTCAGTGCATACCTAAAATAGTTTTCTTTTTATTATCTCATTCTCTCATTCAAAAACATTCACTGACAATTTATCCACTTGGGACCAGCAGTTAGCGTAATGGCTATGTCGCTGGACTCCCATGTAGTTGATCGCGATCTGAGTCCCAGACCCAGTGGCTTAAACTCACACTGGGCGCGTGTGCGTGTGTGCCCAAGATCCCGAGAGGAGAATGGAGGAGAAGGAATTGCGATGTGGCCATTCCCTCTGGGGGGTGATTTTTTCTTTCTGTCTCTCTGTCTTTCTCTGGTTTTGCCCACACGAAAACTGGAAAGCAGCTCACAAAATCAGCTGAGTCTTCTACCTCTTTATTATCAGGCGAAGATTTTGTCTTGATTTGATTTGACAGTTCTGTCACAAAGCTGAGAGGCTAAATTAAGAAAACTACCAAAAAAAAAGGCCACTTCTTTTTTTGGCTGTTTTATTTCAGTGCATACCTAAAATCGTTTTCTTTTTATTATCTCATTCTCTCATTCAAAAACATTTACTGACAATTTATCCACTTCGGACCAGCAGTTAGCGTAATGGCTATGTCGCTGGACTGCCCTGTAGTTGATCGGGATCTGAGGACCCAGTGGCTTAAACTCACACTGGGCGCGTGTGCGTGTGTGCCCAAGATCCCGAGAGGAGAATGGAGGAGAAGGAATTGCGATGTGGCCATTCCCTCTGGGGGGTGATTTTTTCTTTCTGTCTCTCTGTCTTTCTCTGGTTTTGCCCTATAGCAAAAAACCTCTCCAAAAAAAAAAAAAGAATTTATCCACTCACAGACACTTATTGAGCACTTAATATGAACTATGCCCTGTCTTACAGACTAAAAAATATTACAATGAATGAGATATTACCATCACAGAGATTACATGTTACATGCTAGTGAGGGATACAAATAATTACGAAGTAAACAAAAATATAATGAAATCTCAGCTATTGATAACAAATGCCCTGAAGGATACTAAACTAAGTAAAAGAGTAGAGATAACTCTCTGCAGGTAATACTGGTTTATGTAGCTGTACTGGTAACTTCTCTCTGAGGCTGTAGTATGTCCAACATATATCAAGAAGTCCAGTGTGATGGGGAAAAAGTCCTAAAAGAAATAGTCTTCAGAGCAAGCAGGCAGCATAGTAGTTAAGGCACTGGATCCCACATGGCTGACTGTGTGGTTCAAGTCTTAGACCCAGAGGCTTGAAAAACACAGTGTGTGTGTGTGTGTGTGTGTGTGTGTGTGTGTGTACCCAAAATCCCAAGAGGAGAATGGAGGAGAAGGGACTGTTGCATGGCTGTCCCTCTCTAGGAGCGATTTCTCACTTTAACTCTTTATATCTCTGTCTCTTTTTGGTGAGTGCATGCATCCTATAGCAAAAGAAAAAAAAGGAAAAGGATCCAGGGCCTATAAGCTCCATTTACTAAGTAAAAAGTTTCAAACTTATTTAAACTTAGCCATTGGTGGGTTTTGAGTGAAGGTAGGATATAATATGGTATTTAAAAAATATATACTAACTGGCACTGCATTTGTGAAAGTCAGAGACAACAGTGAGGCAGTTGAGATAACTAAGATGAGAGTCATGGTCACACAGGATGTAGTGAGAATTTTTCAGTCTACAAAAATAACTTTTAGAGTGAAGGTGTAAGGATTTGTTGAATAAGAATTTCTAGAATATGAGGAAATGAATCTTCAAGGACCATTCCTTGTTTTTTCTTTTTATCTGAATACTTTTGTGAATATTGTTAAGAGTTTATTGTGATGGGAAAGACAGGAGATAGTTTTATCCAGGAAAAGTAGAAGTTTTGATTTTTTACATTTTAAGTTTGAGATAGTTCTTACACATCTAACCAGAGATGTTGCATCAGCAACTAGATACAAAAGCTTGAACTTGGTTATGATTGGAAATGCCAATTTGATGGTGATAGACATGTAGTTACTTCTGAAAGCCTGGAGGGAGGATGAGATCACCTAGGGATTCAGAACAGAGATAAAAGGGAAGATGCTCAAGAATTCAATAATTATAATATTACAGAGACCAAGAAGCTATAGAGGGTACAACAAAGAAAAGGTGGAAAATTAGAAAACTGTGGTATTCTAAACACAAGAACTAAGTGTTTCAGAAAGGAGGGAGAGAGAAAGCTTGATGAATGGTGCTCAGCGATCTGATAAGATGAGAACTCCCATTAGATATAGGAAGGTGGGACCAGATCCAGAGCCATGTGGATAAGGCTGCCTTATCTCAGATGACCACCCATAGTTCAAGTTCCAGACCTGGTATCTTGAGAAACAAGCTAGATGTGTGTGTATGCCCATAATCTCAAAAGGAGTGAGAGATGGAGAGGAGATTGTAGGGTGACTGTTCCCTAGGGGGTGTGCTTTTTCCTCTCCTCTCTTTCTTCTCCCTGGCAAGTATGTGCATGTGCCCTCCTGCAAAAACAACAACAACAACAAAAAAAAAGCATTGTGAAGGGACCCTGATGAAAGATAATTCAGTGTGATGTGCAATGCTTACAACTAAGCTTTTGGAAATGACGTTGATGATCATCAGATTAGGTGGTGCAGCAGGACAGAAAATAAAGATATGAAGGCATGATAGAACTGAGAGATCAGAGTGTTAGATGAGTGTCTATTGATTATTAGTCTTTAAAAACACATCAGGAGTCAAAGACTTTAACAATTGAGGTGCCTTTACTGAGAGGTCGGTAGATGACTACGACAAAAATAATAGTATTGTGAAGGCATGGCCTCAGAGAAAGTTCTCTTTCTTGGCAGAGGAATGAGAAAGTGTTCATAAACTATAATAAGGAAGGAGGAAAGATACCTAATTCATGTCTGGGACCTATGACGTGCAAGATATAAAATTTTTAAAAAAATCACTACGTAAGTCTGCTTCAGAGCTCCGTGGAGGAAATAATGTCTACAGCATATAGCTAGGTGTCAATTAGATGATAACATTTAGAGAAAATGAGACGGATGTAGAGATTTGCTGAAGTGAGAACATGAGTTCTGAAGGACAAGAGGGTTTGACAGGGATGGGAGATTAAATAAAACAGGGGATGTAATTCTTGTTCAGCTGATTCTAAGGACAAATGTGACTGGGAGGATTGAACTTCTGGTAATTATAGAGATAAACTGGAATGTTGAGCATGATGGGACTCATTAAGGAGGGGATTTACCACTTCGTCAGTACTTGCCCACCTCTGTAACTGCTGAAGAATGAAACTGTTATTTCCTAGGTTTAGTGCTATTCTAGACCACAGAGAAGGATACTGCAGTTTGTCCAGGGCCTGCTGGTTGATGGTTGTCAGAGTATTGTATACAATTGTGCTGCTCAGAAGGATTGCCAAGGCAAAGATCCAGGAGTCATTCTCGTTGTCACCCTAGAAGTCAGTGTAGAAGTCAAACTGAAGAGCAAGAGAATGTGCCTTCCATACAAATAGGCAAAAACATGAGCCCTGGCTTGTTTTTCATTAGCTGTGGATACTTAGGTAAGTCACTCTCTTATGCTATTGTTTTTTCTCATCTGTGCAATGAATTTATACATACTCAATACATAATTTAATATAGTTTAAATAAAGCATTATTTATAAATGTATATATGAGAATATGAAGCACATAAGAATTTGATAATAATAGCTATTTTAAAAAGAATTAGTTTACTTTACTTTTATTTATTTATGTATTATTTATTTCTTAAAATTTGACCAGAGAGGGACAGAATAAGAGAGAGAAGGAAAGTGAGAAAGTAAGCTACTAAGTCCGGGACTCAAACCACTGTCAGAAATGTGGGAGTCCAGTGCCTTTAGTCACCATGCCACCTGCTGGCCCCAATAATAGCTATTTTGATCAGCTGCTAAAATTTAAACATGTATTTTGAACTTAGTTTATGACCCTATTCCATTCCCATGATATGTAATGATAAGAAACTTTTTAGACAGTAGTTAAAATAAAATAAACTCTTTTGCTAGTTTTCTCGATCCCAAATTGGTTGAGTGGAAATATTTGATCCCTAATGAACAAAGATGTTATCATTAGATTTTACACCTTGCCTATTTGTAGTGTTCTGTGGATATGAGCTTTCTTACTGTCTTTCTGGATCCCCACTGTGAAAAGACAGACATGTTTGTAAAATGAATAGTGAGGTTTAGAGCCACCTTCATTAAATTCACCAAATGTTTTGCTATAATATGGTAGATAAATGTCTGAAAAAGTCATTAGTCTTTTTTTGCAGGTTGGACCATAATTAGTTAAACTTACTGACCACTCTCATTGTTATACCAAATAAATTTAAAGAGTAATACATTGGGCCAGCTGCTGGTTGAAGTGGCTAGATCCCACATGGCTGATTGCATGGTTCAAGTCCCAGAACCAGCAGTTTAGAAAACAGGTCAGGTGTGTGTCCAAAATCCTGAGAGAATGGAAGAGGAAAACAGGTCAGGTGTGTATCCAAAATCCTGAGAGAATGGAAGAGAGGGAATTATGACATGACCATCTCCTGCAAGGGGTTCTTTCTCTCTTTCTCTCTCTCTCTCATAAGCACATATACCTTATGGAAAATTAAAAATAAAAGTATATCAATTAGAAGCATAAATCAAGAAGTGTTAGTGATAGTTCAAGAAAGGCTATTGATCTGACATAAGTAGAATTTAAGAGATTTACTTTTTACCTTCTCTGTATCTCCAAAGCCCTCAGTATCAAGCAGAACCAGGGTGTGGTCTGGCTTCTTGGGATGAGGCATACACCACATCCAGATTCCCTTGGTGTGAGACTGCGTTGTGTGTCCCAAAGAGAAGCCTGCAAAGGAGAGTGAGGATACACGGGGAAGGAGATTAAATAGCTGATGCTTTTGAAAATTGAGAAAAAAGTTAACATAAGCAAAGTTAAAGAGATAAAAGAAACTACAGTGAGTATTGATCTTAATTACAATAATATTAATAGAATAAGGAAATTAATCAATATAAACATTTAAGTTTATCTCAAAGTTTAATGGAGACTTGCTGTTACTACATAAACTTTTCAGAAAATATTTTGTAATCTATTATTACATAAGTTGATTTTCCTTATTAATACCTTATTCCTTTCAGAAAGGCATTTTGTACTTTTCTTTTTTTATTGAAAGAATTATTTTTATTTTATTTATTTTAGTTTGATCAGAGAGAAACAGAGAGAGAGAGAGAGAGAGAGAGAGAGAAAGAGAGAAAGCAAGCCGCCAGGGACTGGAACCATGGTTGGTCATGTGGGAGTCCAGTGCCCTTAACCACCATGCCTCCTGCCAGCCCTGCACTTTATACTTTTTGAGGGGCAAGTCAAAATAAAGTAGAGTGAGTTGACTAACCCTCCAGAGTGACCCTAAGGAGCCCACTGGTGGATAGAAAGTTAGTTTTATTGTTCATTCCTTCCTCCAACCTTCTCCCCTCATACCCCCCTCCTGGATGCCAACAGTGGGTGCACAGAAGGGGACTATCCAAGATCTGCTGCTGCCCCTCACCCTCTTTTTTTTTTTCCCCGCCAGCCGGTTCATCAGGTGGGATTTGCCTGTGCGGGAGGAGCCCGCAATAGCCACCACCACGACAGGCTGTGTAATAGCGGACAGGATGTTCAGAGCGTCCTGATTGGCCACCAGCTGCCCTTCAGTGTTCTCAATGAGACACACTGGGCCCCGTGTGAAGATTTCTGAGGCCATCTCTAGGGTGTTTCTTTATCTGCAAGGGAAAAGTTAGAATGGGAAATAATTTCAGTCAGTTACCTACCTGAACTGACTTTATAGTATCAACTCTTTTTTTTTTCTTTTTTTCTTTCTTTCTTTCTTTTTTTTTTTTGTTTCTTTGTTTTCTCTCCTTGAACTTTGTTCCATGATCATTTAAAAAAAGCCTTGTGGCCCTTTAAGGCTGTCATATAGACTGGTCCACTGGTTCTTAAAAATCATTGTTTTCACACTGCAGATCCCCAAAACACCATTCCTGGTAACTACAAGGTGACTTCTGTGCCGCATCAGCTGATAATCATCCCTGCGTACCAGAACTGCTTTCCTGAAACTGTATTCCCTGGAGACTCACCTACACTTGTGGATCTGCAGGAGACCCTCCCTTAATCCAATCCTGAATAGAATATATGCTCCCTATTGCCAAAAACTTTATGAGCTGATGGTTGGAACTCGTGGCCTCTCTCCCTTTACTTGTATGTATCACTTTTTCAGTAACTCTTCTGGAAGACAACTGTATATAGCAGGGATATTGTAATGGGAGAGTGAGACAGGGCAGAGGGACAAACATAGGAAAAAAAATAAAAAAAAA